GCCGTATAATCTCATCTCAAAAACATTTCAAGCCTCTTTTTCAATCCCACTCTCCAAATTTTTGGATGCAAGCAAAAGTATTATACCTGTCTTGTTGAAGCTTCAAATTCCATATTTCAAGAGTTTACAAAGTGAATTTGTGGGCTTTATTCTCTTTTATTAAACTAGTTTTGTTACTTGAAAAGATTGAGAGTTGTTAACTTATGTTCTTGATTATTTTGTTTTGAAGGTAATTAAAACTTTGATTTTGCTCAAGCCTTTTATTCAAGGTAAGTGAAAACTCTAAGGGCTAAGTTAGATTGATATATTTAGTATGTTTGACTTGGTTGTTTGATGGATGCTAATTTTAATTGGAATTTTGATGTTAAGTGTGAGATGTTTTAATGATTGTGTTGAATCGTTGTGTTCGTTTGACTTGAATCAATGAATATCTACGTGCCGAGTTTGTGATTAATTGATGTCCATAAAATTCAGTAGTATAAAAGTGATACTGGCGATACTAAACCAGAAAGTGAAATTTTTGGTAATTCGACTAAGTTATCGAGTTACTAGTTAAGTGTTGCCGATTAATCACGTGGTCGATTCTTCGAGTTGTCGACGTTCACATTATTTATGGTAATGGCTTAGCATGGATAAAATGAGGATATATATGTTGAAGTGCACGTAATTAATTGTCATCATTAATTACATGAGAAATGACAAATGGAAATTTCTATGTTATAATGATGTGTATGGCCATGATACCATGTGAGGAAAGCCTTTACCACATTTGGTTTCCTTATATGAGTATGTGTGAAAGACTCTAGAGTTAGCCATATGTCCTACTGCTTTGAGATGATTCTCTACTAGGTTGAAGGGATATGAAAGTCCTATAATATATACACGATATGAGTTGACTAGTGTATTTTGAGTTGGCTTGTAAAGCATTGTTGACCATCATCATGCGGTCTTACAGTGACGTATTTATCCTCGCTAATGTAAATGACGCCTGTGATGATTGGGTTGTGTGGCATGGCAAAGAGGTATTTATGATTTAGTCCCCCATGAGTTGGTGGTGATGATACCCCATGTGTCATGATGTTCTAAGAGTGTTCGGGATGCCTCGTGAGTCGAGATGGGTCTTGACCAGTGACAAGTATGAACTCACTTATGTATATCGATGAGCTTCATGATAAGTTGGGAATAAATATTCCTTATGTATAGTGGTGAGCCACTACGTGGCAAATGCATATCATGGAATAACATGACATCTGCTTGCATTTGAGTAAATAATTTTATGCAACATTGATCAATATATTTCATCAGCATATTATGATAAGGAAAGATAGTGCACCTATTTTTACAGTTATCTGTACCTGTCTTGAACTCAAACTGTTTGTTGATACTAGGTCGAGGGGTAAGAGCATCTTCTATCTTAGACTTAGAGATTTTATCTACTAGAGTTCGTCTCACTCTTTTATTTTTTTAGATATGTAGGATGGATCCCTCGCTGCCACCATTTTTAGGAGCTTTTGTATATTTTGATTGTGAAGATGAAAATGTGCTTATACCTTGATTGGCGGTAGTATATATTAAGTGTAGTTCCACCTATTGGTTGACGTGGGATTCTAGAGTGGATTCCCTCGTCGATATGTCACTTAGTACTGGAATATCCAGAGAGTTGGTCGGTCCATTGAGGGGCTTTGATGGTGAAGGCGACATGTCGATGGGCAAGATTGTTGATCCGTAGCGCCTACTTGTCTTTTGTACAGGCAGGATTTTGGGTAGGTGGTGTTGGTGATAGGTGACCCTGACCCTTTCCAGGACTTATGTAAATTGTGTTTTGCTTGTACGCTATATAAAGATATTATCTACTGATATTTTTATAAAAGAAGAATATGTACTTTAATTAAAGTTGTTTGTCCCTGTAGTGTGAGATGTTGCAAATATTTTATTATGCTTCCGCATGCTAATAACAATTATGAGTTATAATCGGATAGGGCACATGTGGAGCGTGACTTTCTAGGGCGTCACAGATTATGAGTGAGTTGATCGTAAAGGAAAGTGTTATGTTGGAAGTTTGGGGCCTGCAATGTGCCTGCTTTTGATCCCGTTAGGGGCTACCTCGTCAGGGTTGCCATCTTCTGGGGGGCTGTCGTTGGGGTTGAGGTAGTCGCTGTCGGGGTTCGAAACCCTAGCCTTCTCAAGCTTGAACTTCTTCTATGGCTAGGATTTTTATTTTGCTTTGTAGATTTGTTTTATTTTTTGTTTATTTAATTTTGAAGAATTGTTGGGCCTTTTTATTTGTTTTTCTCGTGGATTATATGAGTGTGTTTGGGTTAAATTTGGGTTGAGTTGGGTATGAGTTATATAAATTGCTTAGTAAATAAATTGGTCGATGTGGGTTAAATAGGTGGATTTAGGCGAACCCATTTATGACCCACCCATCAAGCAAGGACCTCCTCATCATTGTGCGACGCCTCGACATGCACTTGGACATCCTTTGGTTCCGATCCATTTGCTCTTCGTGGCATTCCTCGATCGCATCGAGCCCTAGCCCCTCCTATGGCCAGTGAGGGCGTGAAGGCGAAGGAGACCTTGAACAGTAAAAAAGGAGAAGAAAAGAAAAGAAAAACTATAAAAATTTCTCAAAATGATATCGTTTTGAGTTGAGTCTCACACGTCATATCGCCGGCCGTGCCACATAGGATGACCAGCGCCGACTGAACCGCAATGTCAACAATTTTCGGCCTAAATTTGCCGAATGGACTACGTCAAAAAATTTAGAATTATATTAATGAAATTGAAAAATTTAGAATTGAATTGATGGCCTTACAATACGTCGAGGACTTTTAGGACAATTTCCCTCGATGATCGCTTCTATGGGCAGCGAAAGATGAAGCTGCAGGATATTGTTTTTCACCGGATGAATCGAATGCTTTGGAGGGCACGTATTACTGCAGTGTTCCAACATGTGTGGTCAAATGTAGGAATACTATAAACAAATTGTGAGATATAGTAGTGATGAAAATTCCAGATCGGCTTCTCTCTCCACATGTTGGGAAGGGGAAAATCCTTTAGGCCATTTATATAAACCGACACTTTCTGTTTGTATATGGTTTAATATGAAAATTTGCCGTCGGGGCGACCGCACCTTAGACTCGACCTCGCCGTTGTTGGGAGAGGCCGACCTCGTCGTTGCAGGGCGAGGCCGACCTCACCAGTTGTCAGCGAGTTCGAGCCTTGCTAGATCTGGCGAGGGCTTGACCCCGCCGGCAACTGGCGAGGTCGGCCTCGCCCTGCAACAGTAAGGTAAACCCTCGCCAGCGGCCGACAGGGCCGACCTTGCTGGCTTCGGCCTCTGGCCGGTCGCCGGAACGGCGACCGGCCAGAGGTTAAAGATGAAGAAGATGAAGGAAAAAAAGAAAAGAAAAGAAAAATAAATAAATAAATAAATAAAATTCTAAAAAATAAAAAATAATATTAAAAAATTAGTTCGGAGTAAAATTGTCACAAGTGTACCAGTTTGGGGTTTTTGGTGGTCAAAAAAATAGTTCGGGGTAAATTTATTACAGGTGTACCAGTTTGGGGTTTTTTGTGGTAAAAAAAATAGTTCGGGGTAAAATTGTTACAGCTGTACCAGTTTGGGGTTTTTCGTGGTATTAACCCTTATAATTATCCGAAATACTTAAAATAAGTTTTCAAAATGTTCAAATAAAATCGTATATAATTTTTGCATTTAAAACTTCAATGGATTATTTTTAGTTTTCAATTTTGGAGGGATAAAGTCAAAAAGTCAGATATAGAGTGAAAGCTAACTGGAGGGCTTCTCAAATGCTGTCGTTTCGTTTAATATATTCTGTGGAAAAGGTAGGCACAATCGCGCGCGACTATTCGCCGTCTTCCGCACCGGTTTCAACCTAGGATGTTTCTTTGTGTGCATCATCATAGTTTATTCGGATTGAATCTGTACATTCACATGAACCATCTGGTGAAGGTAGACATTCATAACATGTACAGGGTGGCGATATAACCAAGCAAATTAAAACAGTAGCAATCAGCATGAGGTTGACCAATGAAAAGATGATGTTAAGTTTAACCTAAAGAGACGAAACCAGTTCCCCTAATGCGCGTTGATCGAGCAATCTTGCCAAACCATAGAGAAAAAAAATAAAACGGGGTTTGGTGAATGTTGTTGACCTTCACATGTCATTTTTCCTCCCAAACTCAATTATGCAATCTTAACCAGGGGCTCTCTTTGGATCTTTGTTGTTCGGTTAAGAGTTACCTCGCCAAAGAGAGAGAGAGAGAGCTGAAGCTCCTACGAGGGCCTCCGGGGCCTGTCCCTATCCCGTGAGGGTGGGCTCCATAGATGCGTTCTCTATTTTAAAGTGCTGTTACCCGCACGCCTCGCATCCCCAATTTTTCCTAGATCTTTTCTTCTTTCCTTGGAGGTGTGAATGCCCTCTCTTCGTTTTGCGTCCTGGGGATCTTGAGGTCCGAACGAGATTCAGGATGAAGCAGTTTACGGATTTACTTAGGTCGGTATCTTACCAAACCATAGAGAAAAATAAAATAAAACAGGGTTTGGTGAACGTTGACGTTCACATGTACGCAGTCCTAGCATTATAGGCAAGAACGGTCAACGTTCATCCAAATCCTGTTTTATTTTATTTTTCTCTATGATTTGGTGAGGTCGGACGTGACGTTTGTATTATAGGAACTTACTTGTACATGTTATGAATGTCTACCTTCACCACGTGGCTCATGTGAATCTGCATATTGAATACTGAATAAACTATGTTGATACACAAAGAATATCCTTGGTAGAAACCGGTGGGCAAGAAGGCGAATAGTACTTCCACTGGATATATCAAACAGAAAGTGTGGATCTATTTAAACGGCCCAAAGGAGCTTCCACTTCCCAACATCCGAAGAGAGAAGCCAATCAGGTAAATTCATCACTAGTATCTCTCTCGATTTGTTCATGTGGTACTCCTACATTTGACGACACATGCTGTAACACTGCAGTAATACTGGCCCTCCAAAGCATTCAATCCATCCAGTGAAAAATAGTCTCCTGCAGCTTCATCTTCCGCTGTCCATAGGAGCAATCTTTGTTATATGTGATTCCCAGAGTCCAACGGTTTTGTCTGAACCTTCAAACGCTTTTTTCTTTTCAGAGCTAGAGAGCAGGAGAACCAGAGATCTCCAATGGTGGCCTTCGAAAACACGACCGACAATGTCCTAACAGTAGAAAGATCCCTCCCCGTCGAGGTCCTACCTGGAGGAGAAACGCCCAGGGGCTCCCTTTTCTTAAGTAGCATGGATTGTTGGGCTTTAGCCGTGGTGCCGACCCTTTATACTTTCGACAGGGGCGATGCGAACGTGGTAGATGTGATCAAGCAAGCTTTGTCCAGAGTTTTAGTTCATTATTATCCGCTTGCAGGGAGGATAGCCAAAAACTCTCTAGGGAAGTTGACGGTCGATTGCGAAAAGAAGTTGGGAGTCCCATTTGTGGAGGCATCGGCTAATTGCGACATCGAAGATATGGGCGATATAAAAATGCTTGATTCTGATATCTTAGAAAAGTTTGTTTACAGAGATCCTACTGAAAAAATGCTGGAAGTCACACCCCTTCTGACAGCACAGGTGAACACTTTCTTCCTTTCTTTCTTTGCTGGTAATAATTGACAGCACTTCACATTCTATTTTCTTTCGCTTTCTCGTCCATTGTAAAGGCGAATGCGTTTTGGTAGACCACAGTTCACATTGGATCAGAATATGTCACGTTCCACATGCATCCTTGATGTTTTTTTGGATGCCGATTAATGAAAAGTGGCCATGCAAGAATTTATCCATACAAGTTACCATTTATTGCATTTTATATTGGGATATTAGTAACTCTCGAGACTGCTTAAACAGGTAACAAGGTTTAAATGTGGAGGTTTCACTTTAGGGGTCGTAGTTAACCACTGCATGACCGATGGTATCTCCGCAATTGATTTCATGAACTCATGGGCTGAGATAGCAAGAGGTAAACCATCATCCTTCATCCCTTGTCACGATAGAACCTTTCTGAAGTCAAGGGTGCCACCTCAAATTGGCGATCATTACAATGACTTTGCTCGCGTGGGTGATATATCAAACATGACCACATCATGGGAGAGAGAGCCAACCGTATTTAAATCGTTCCACATTAACGGCGAGAAGCTGGCCACCCTGAAAAAAATGGCAACGACCGATGGACAGGCGAGGAGCAACTGCTCCAGCTTTGTTGTGCTTTCGGCTCTAGTATGGCGGGCTCGAACCATGGCACTCAAAATGAAACCACACCAACTAACACAGCTTCTCATATATGTCGATTTCCGACCGAAGATGAAGGAACATATGCCTGACGGATACTTTGGGAATGCCGTGGTCTTACCTTGCTGTCTCTGCACCGCGGGAGAGTTGATCGATGAGCCGATCTCTTCCACCACTGAAAGAATAAAGAAGGCGATCGAGAGGGTGGACGAGGACTTTGTGCGGTCGGCGATCGACTACATGGACAAGTATCGGTTTGAACCTTACCGAGTGAGCTCGCTGTTGATAAGTTCATGGATGGGGCTGGATTATGGAGACTTTGACTTCGGATGGGGAGGGCCGAGGCAGCTCGGCACCGGCAATCTGCTACCGACAGATTGCGTGTTTATGAGGGAAGAGAGTGAGAACAAGAAGGACGTTGCGGTGGTGTTGGGTTTGCCACTGTCGGCCGTGAACACGTTCCAAGAGTTGGTTCAAATATAAACTAGTCACCAGAGACTGAACACCTTCAAGAGAACTCGCCTGTCATTCCAATAATGCTACTTTTCTTTTTTTTTCTCTGGAATAAGCGCAAACAATGCTACTTAGATGTTCGCTGTTTAGTTCAGACATTCGAATAACAATCACGGTTTGTTTCTGTTTACTCATTTTACTATTGTTGTATGCAGCAACTTCCCATTCTCTCGATACCTCATGCATTGGCGATTGAGTAAGTTCAGGGCAACGCAAGATTTACGTGACGTGTCACCAACCAAGATTGATCATCTTGCAAATTCAAAAACAAGTTGCTTATAAAGAAAACATCACTCTATTAAAGTATGACTCACTCAATCATCCATATTCCAGTATAAAATAGATCAGCAGAAGTACTTTTGTCCTCATACATAGCTTGCTCAGAAATCGTATGTTTGAGTTTGAATCCAACTGCGGCGCAACAAAAACTTTTTGCGACACGGGTCGACCCTTAAAGGCAAAGGAAGGAAAAAAAAAGTCTGTCATAGAGGTACTTTATTGCAAAAAAAGAAGAAGATATCGAGTATCAGGCTACACAATATGAAAAAGTTCACGGCCTTTTCGGCTCGCGAATGATTATTGACAGAAGAAATGACATGTGAAGTTCCACGTTCGATCAAACCTCGTCTTCTTTTTCTCTGCGGTTTGGTAGCCAAACTTTTGAAAATTGCTGCCTTTTCGCTAAATAATGCCATGGCACATGCTGTACATGCATGAAGCTACTCGACAGAAAAGCCATTCGAAGGTCGACGACATCTAGACAAAAACAAAAGCTGATTCATATAGATTACTGCTCACAGTCTTTGGAAAATCACCAAATTTTCTGGCTCGATTGCTGCAGCCTACCGAACCACAAAATGCCAAATCGAACAGAAATTGTGGGTCATCGGGCTCTCCGCAGGAACTTCGGTTCCGCAACCTGCCAAGAGAAGGCCAATCATCCAAGTGTTGAATCTCTGCCTCTGTATCTCTCGAGCTCTTGAAGGTAATGCGGATCTTTATTCACGTGATTCTCTCTTCTAATTTCTCTCAAGAAGCTCTTCCCCTCGCGTGAACTTGCATTTGCTTACGTAGTTGGCTCATTAGCTTCTGCTTCTGTTGCATTTGATTACAATTTACGATTACCTAATCTAATGTCCAACGTACGCTGAATAAGGAAATAAATCGGATATCTGATTTACGTGGTTCGGTAGTACCTACGTCTATCAAGAGAGCATCAATGAATATCAATATAGATTAAATGATACAATGGAGATTACAACCACACTCAAACACTCTCAGTGTTTCACAACCCTCAATTACACATAATAACTCACCTCACAATTCTTTACGAAATAATCTTTTAATCTCACAAAGGAATTAACAAATTTTAACATAAGATTTAATTGGCTTCAATACTTGAATTCTTGGTGTGATTCCACGAAAAAAATCCACGGAGAAAACCCTGTTAAGCACTCGACGAAACGTCGCTACCACATTACGTGGATTGCATGTAGGCATCATCAACAACTCAAAGAGCATGAATCAAGGAAATATAATAATCCTCCGAACCTTTGCCGACTCAAACAAGGAAGGATATCCAGGAGGATATATGTACATATATTCCCACAGTTCAAGGAGTCCAAATTGAATGGGTCGAAGGAAGTTAACTTCAGTGTATTTATTGATCCTGCCAATTTGATATAAGACAAAAGAGCACACCTCCTACAACCTGAACTCTTAACAAAAGAGCACACCTTCTACAGCCTGAACTATTAACACCAAATTGGCAGGATCAATAAATACACGGAAGTCAACTTCCTTCGACCCATTCAATTTGGACTCCTTGAACTGTGGGAATATATATACATATATCCTCTTGGATGCCCTTCCTTGTTTGAGTCGGCAAAGGTTCGGAGGATTATTATATTTCCTTGATTCATGCTCTTTGAGTTGTTGATGATGCCTACATGCAATCCACGTAATGTGGTAGTGACGTTTCGTCGAGTGCTTAATAGGGTTTTCTCCGTGGATTTTGTTTGTGGAATCACAACAAGAATTCAAGTATTGAAGCCAATTAAATCTTATGTTAAAATTTATTAATTCCTTTATGAGATTAAGAGATTATTTCATGAAGAATTGTGAGGTGAGTTATTGGGTATAATTGAGGGTTGTGAAACACTGAGAGTGTTTGAGTGTGGTTGTAATCTCCGTTGTATCGTTTAATCTATATTGATATTCGTTGATGCTCTTTTCGTGGACATAGGTACTATCGAACCACAAAAATCAGGTGTCCGATTTATTCCTTATTCTGTCCGTTTAATTATTCGATTGTTTGTTTACGCAACATATACGGTGGTATAGAGCTATCCTAAGAGAATGAAACCTCCAATTCTTTAACTTTGTTACCTATTTTTCTCCAAGTCAATAAAGTAAACAACGATCTTTTTAACAAGCGTACATTGGACTTTAGATTAGGTAATCGTAAATTGTAATAAAATGAAACGGAAGCAGAAGCTAATGAGCCAACTACGTAAGCAAATGCAAGTTCACGCGAGGGGAAGAGATTCGTGAGAGAAGTTAGAAGAGTGGAGAGAATCACGTGAATAAAGATCCGCATTACCTTCAAGATTCGATTTTGTTTATGGGCTCAAATTCGAGACATATTTTAACAGTATGTCTGATGGTATCTCCTGATGAAATTCAACAATTCTTGAGTTGAAAGTGCAAGTGGCAAGCCCTTATCGGTCGCCTCTTGCCACGACAGAACTATTCCAAAGCCATGGATGCCTCTTCCGATTGGCGGTCCTTACGATGACTTTGTTCAACTCCGTTTGTTTCGCGGCAAATTATTTTTCAAAAAATGATCGCTTGTATTGATTATAAAAATGAATAAGCGAAGAATATTTTCATCGCTTACGAAAATGTTTAGACATAAATTACTATTGATAATGAGAATATTTTTATTAATTGAGAATATTTTTATTAATTAATTATTTCAAGTGATATAAATAATCATTTTTAGAAAAATATTTTTCAAATCATTCATTTTTCGAGAAATAAACGGATCCTAAGTATTAAACATGATGGCCTTTACGAGAAGGAAATTGTATATGGATGTTTCCACTTTGACGCTGAGAAGCTAGAATCAGTAAAAACGATGGCAACGGCTTGTGGACAGGTAACATTGCCTTGTAATAATGCTGACAATTCACCACAATATACACTTAACAATACGAGTGAAAAGTAAGAGTTGGTCGGTCTTTTTAGGGGCGTTTGCTAACTCAATTAGTTCCACGGTAATTCCAAAAATACTCGAAATCTACATGTTGACACCTAAAAATGATTACCTTTTGGTTATTATCGATAATTAACAGGTTTAGTCAATGAAAGCAGAGTTTAGTAAGAACGGATGTCATTAATAAACATAATCATCGACAACTCGTCAGTGAAGTCATCAACAAAACACAACTTAAAAGTTATTGACAAAAGCTTCATTAAGACTTTAGAAGTTGATCGACAAAATCATCAATAGCAAGCAATTGACACAAAAATATAACTGCTGGGTGATTATGTCTATTGCTGCTAATTTAAGACTTTTTATAACTTCTTGTGGATAGTGTTGCTAGATAATAGAAGATTTTAGATAATGTACCTTTTTGTAACTGCTGATAGGATTATGAAATTATTTCTTTATTCAAATTTAGTTACATGTAACTGTCTGTAGAGGGTTACGGATACCCCAAGTGTACTCTTTGTAATAGATTCCTAATTAATCAAAGAACTTAACGTTCTTATGCAAACTTATATTTATCTTTACTTTCCATCAATTTATCTTTCCTATAATTTACATTGCTGGCAACAGTTGTTCCCAATGTCATACTTTAAATTCCCTGCTATTTGCTTTCCTATCCAAAATAAGCAAATGGCTCTTCGCAACTTTTGTCGATTCATATTATTTATTTTGCATTCTTAAAAGATATTTCATCTTTTTTAATGAAATATCTTTTTGGCACGCCCAGTGGAATATATTTTGTTGATTCGAAGAGACTACAATGACAAGAATGAGAAGTCAACAAGAGTCTAATAATGTTGTTGGCAACAACAATCCAGTGCTCGGTAACAAAGTTGCTGCACATTTCGAATCTTCAACCGTTGGGAGAGCGGCAGGAGGAAATTGACGCGAAAAAGTTGATCTTCCAAGGCATCTTACTGAAGATCAGTTAAGGATGAGGTTCCAAATTCCAATATGGTGTCAACAATGAGAAGATAGCTTAACAACAGCAGAAAGACATGTCTGATTACACTATAAGTCACATGTGAGATATGATCAAACCAATGATTACCAATGCTGTGAATGATACCTTTGTCGAGGCTAGGATCCTCTAATCAACCACTACCATTCCAAGCAAATCCAGTGGTAACGGGGTATGTTCCTAATCTCTCTCCATTTATTTATGTTAATAATATTTGTTAGAAGTAGCTAACCCCCTACAAGAAATATGCAAAGGCCTGAGTCTTTTGATCAATGCCAAAATAATGGAAAGGGAAAATTTTAAGTAAAGGTATGAAGTGGAGCCGTTTTCTCAAAAAACGGCTCAGTGTGGATCTTGTCTCAAATAAGGGCTTAGAGTAAACAAATCATCTCACATAAGGGTTTGAAGTGGCCATATTGTCTCAAATAAAGACCCGAGCTCGCCGGCCGACAAAATCTTTGTCGGTCGAGAAGCGTGTGATTATTCTGGCCGCCGAAAAAGGGGTATTTTAGGGAAAAAAATTCTAGGTACAAAATAGAACTCTTAAAAACAAAAAAGCCCCAATTGGTATTATTATTTCCCTTCCCACCCTCTGCTTTTGCTCTTGCTCGTTCTTGTCACCTAGCCATTCTTAGACTCTTCCACTCCCATAGAACGAATAAAAATCGTTTATTTTTTCGGCTCCGTTCGCTTCACGAAAAATATTTCTGGAAAAACATTTTCCATAATTTCTGGTGTTCGGGGGTGGAAAATAAGTGGTCAAAGAAAATATTTTCTAGTCAATGGAAAACATCCTTCTAAAATTTGGGAAAATGATTTCCTTTCCCAAAAGAAAGGAAAACATTTTCCAATCTCCCCTCTTTCTCACATATCCTCTCCTCCTTTCTCCAGAGTT